TCAATGTTACTACAACTATACAGATTAAAGTTTTATGAGTTAGAAACCCGAAAGGATAAAATAGTCAAAGATTCAAAGTACAAATTTTTCATATAATGAAACTAATTCATAGTTTTTCTCTTTTTACTTGTAATATAAATGTAGTTTTTGATTGTTGTTCGTATTTTCTGTCTTTTAGGTGCCTTATTTTGCAGGCAAAAAGCCTTTTCCTGCCTTTTTTGGCTATTTTGTTTTGCCTTTTTTTGCCTTTTTTGCAACACCTAGTGCCTTTTCCTGCCTTTTTCGCTATTTTATTTTGCCTTTCCCAGCCTATTTCGTTATTTTATTTTGCCTTTTTTATAGGTTTTTAGGTCCTAAAAATCCGTTCCCTGCTTATTACTTAATTCCTGTTTGTATGAAATTTAATAAATAGGTAATTTTTTGAACTAAATATAACCGAAATGATTATCTTTAGATGATGACATACCAAATAGGATTGCATAAGCATGGAACCCCAAACCAATTTTTAAAGTTGTAGATAAGAAGATGGAGCTTAAAACCCAGTATGTTCCATTATTTTTGACTTTGGCTCTTGTGTAAATATACCGTGGAGAAAGAGTAAATTGAGTTGCGAAAATATTTACAAAAATGCTGCTTGTTCAGTGTGCATCTCAGCGGAAAGATAATAAAAAAGAGTCAAAGCAAATTCGAACATACGCACATATGTATATTATTTATTCATTATTACATATAATTTGTGGAAATACGTTGTTGGCTAGGTATAAAAGATCCGAGACCGACTGCATCAATCAACACTTTGTATCTCGCTTCGTAGTTAAGTTGAATAAGAACTGAACACCTTTTGCGGATAGCTCAAGTAATATGAAATTATTCATTCCATTACTGATCTACCTGATCAGTATCACGTCAGCCGAAGTGCTGGTTAATCTTGCCCAGCTGAAGGAGGAAAGCCTGGAATTCGATGAAAGCAACCTTGGAGGAAGCGGTAATTTTTTTTATCTCACAAAAATTTGTATATGTATACATATGCATACATACATATCGTCGTTAAAAGTACAAACAGCGCATCGTCATTCTGCAAAACCATTTTACCGACATTTTTTTGCCAAAAAATGGATTTGCTCACACAATCTTCCATTCAATCCATTCGTCCTGAAATATACCAACCAGCAATGTGATTTCCTTATAAAAAAGATAACCATTTTGAAACGTGGGTGTTTTTACTCTCTAGAAAATAATTTATGCAGCCNATGAAATTTAATAAATAGGTAATTTTTTGAACTAAATATAACCGAAATGATTATCTTTAGATGATGACATACCAAATAGGATTGCATAAGCATGGAACCCCAAACCAATTTTTAAAGTTGTAGATAAGAAGATGGAGCTTAAAACCCAGTATGTTCCATTATTTTTGACTTTGGCTCTTGTGTAAATATACCGTGGAGAAAGAGTAAATTGAGTTGCGAAAATATTTACAAAAATGCTGCTTGTTCAGTGTGCATCTCAGCGGAAAGATAATAAAAAAGAGTCAAAGCAAATTCGAACATACGCACATATGTATATTATTTATTCATTATTACATATAATTTGTGGAAATACGTTGTTGGCTAGGTATAAAAGATCCGAGACCGACTGCATCAATCAACACTTTGTATCTCGCTTCGTAGTTAAGTTGAATAAGAACTGAACACCTTTTGCGGATAGCTCAAGTAATATGAAATTATTCATTCCATTACTGATCTACCTGATCAGTATCACGTCAGCCGAAGTGCTGGTTAATCTTGCCCAGCTGAAGGAGGAAAGCCTGGAATTCGATGAAAGCAACCTTGGAGGAAGCGGTAATTTTTTTTATCTCACAAAAATTTGTATATGTATACATATGCATACATACATATCGTCGTTAAAAGTACAAACAGCGCATCGTCATTCTGCAAAACCATTTTACCGACATTTTTTTGCCAAAAAATGGATTTGCTCACACAATCTCGTGACACAATCCTTATCCATTCGTCCTGAAATATACCAACCAGCAATGTGATTTCCTTATAAAAAAGATAACCATTTTGAAACGTGGGTGTTTTTACTCTCTAGAAAATAATTTATGCAGCCTCACATACGCGGTTTGCATTTTTTTATACGCGGTTTGTACTTTAAACGACGATATTTATGTAGCTATGGAAGCGTATTATTTTTATCATATGTATGTATTCTCTTTAGCTACACACCACCTTTCGCAAATTAGTTATGAGGACCTAGTGAAACAGAAGTTCCTGTTGGACGTACTTCAGCATGTCAATGAGCCCATTGTGAACAAAGATTTTTTGCAGATTTTATCATCTCAATATGAACAGCTTATTAACGATGAGAATCTTTATAACGGGGTATACTCAATTTCACACGTTCTCTTAATTTGCGATAATACTTCTAAATTGTTTTTCCTAGGGTATCGATTATGTAATGGCTGAGGTGATAGAAATGAGTCGTAACAAACAATTGTTGGGCAAACAACAGATATTCACCATAGCCAAAGACGAACATATGCGCCAAATGGTTGGACTTTATCTCCTGTTAGTACGCTCCCGGGATTGGGCTACCCTGCAACAAAATATTCTTCACGCTCGCATTCATGTCAATGGAGTTCTCCTAGTAAACTCATTGCTTCTAGCAATCCGAGACCGAGACGATACTCAAAATTTGGTTGTGCCTGGCATACATGAAATTTTACCGAAGCTTTATATAGACGAGGATGTAATCAGTCGTGCTCAAGGCATCGATTTAAGCCAATTGGCTACTTCCCATGAACTCGCTACGGGAATTCGCCGCCCTAGAATTCTCGATATGATTCGATTCAATAAACTATTGCATAGCACAGCCAGTAGAGTAAGCTCGTTGGACCGAAGAGAACTGTGGATGCCGTGGCTAGAAATGCGATTGGAGATACAGGCTAGAAAAACGGGTGGCATTAATAGACCTACGCACGTATCGGTTCGTGATGAAGACCGTATTGTCTTGCCGGTAACTCAGCCGACCAATCTAGCTGGTGATCAAGGTGAGGCTCGTATCTTAACCGCAGATGCGGGTTTCCAATCTTTTATGCACAATTTTATGAATGATTTGTGCATATTTGAGTACGAGCAAAATATGCGATGGTCGGCCACAGGGTCAAATAAAGCTGATTTGACACGCGTTGGTTTGAAAATAAATAAAGGGGCGCCGCTGGAAAGAGACATTCGACTAAAAGACGTTCACATTGTAGGCGAGGACACGAGAGATGTCCATGCTGAGAATATTGATAAAGATAGCTTTATCCATGTTGACCGAGGCCGAGGTCTTCCCGATCGGTTTGTTGGCGCTGAGCTTCTCACAGCCACCGGTGATGAACGTTTGTTGTATGCTAGTCGCAACAGACAACATGCTGATGCTGATAGCAAAATGTATTCCAGAGATGAGGAAAATAATATTGACTTGGACACGAATACAGATTGGGACGACAACAGGGGTTGGAGTCGAGTTCAGTCCGATAATAATCAAGTCAATGTGCGTTCGCGTTTTTTGGATACCACTAAGAGGAAGAGTATAAGTGTGCATAATGAGTTCAAAAATTATAATCCAAACAATGTAAATGAAGATAGTCTGAATATGGATATTAACATGGGAATGCCAATTGATTTGAAGAAATTGCCAGTAGTTGATATCAACAATGAACGCCTGCTAAAAGTGGGCCGTCGAAGGATGAACCAGTTGAATTGGTCTATGAAGCAAAGCGGACAACGATGGAGGTCTGAAGCTGAGAAAAGGCACAGTCCAGAGGTAAACACCCACATGAGGACGAGCCAACCCAAGCTCAATTTAATTCATCAAAAAGATATTCACAATGTCATCGGCAATGGAAGGCTGGCGGAAAATCCAAGAATATGGACTACAGTTGCTCGTGGCATGGGAAACATTGGTATTCATGTAGGACCACAATTCGAAAGGCAGAATGGAACTAAGAGTGGAGAGAAACACCATGGTATGATAAATAACATAAGACGACCATATATTTACTGGGGCAACGACGATTACATTGGCATTCAAGACACTGGCAGCGACATTGGATCGGATACGTGGCACCAGCGGAGTCCTCGTAGCTTAACAGATGGTTCAGTTTTGAACCACAGACGTCGGTGGGAGCGGACACGTGGAGGAGAATTGATTTTGCACAACTTTCAGCAGTTGGTGGCTCGAATCACTTTAGAACGTACTTCACTGGGCCTAAGGGATTACCTCCAGTTACAGGAAAACACGGACTCTTCTCGCTTCAATACTCGTCGGAACCAAGTTCTGCTCGAAAAAGTAAATGAGGTTGAAAAGCGTTTGCAAGAGAAAATTGAGCAGGAATTGCTCCGCACCATTGGAACTGAGAAAATGCAGAATGTTCTTGGTAAAGGAAGTATAGATCACGTGATTGCCGACGTACTCATGGGTAAGGAAGGTGTTGATCAAGATGTGAACATCTTAAACATTTTGCGTGGAATCATCCTGCAGACAGAGGATGCTAATGGAGGCGTTCAAAAATTGGCGCATTTAACTATTAACGCAGGAGATCCATATGTATTGCACTTCCTTCGACGAATCGTGCACATCGCTGAGACGCAACGCCAACAGCAGCTAGGAGGTTACCGCAAGGAAGAAATTAAAATGAATGGCATTACCATCAATGAAGTTAAAGTTGACAAGCTGCGAACTTATATTGGTACCAGCGATACAGATCTAATCAATGCGCTCAATGATCTTCGGAGCGTAGAAGCATCACAGAAAATGGTAGTCGCCCGTCAACAACGTCTCAACCATAAAACTTTCACCGTAAAAATTGATGTTACCTCAGATCGCAATCAACGCGTTGTCGTTCGCACTCTCCTCGGACCAAAGATTGATGCCGCTGGCCGCGGTATGTCACTAAACGATCAACGCCAAAACTTCATCTTGTTGGACGCTTATATTGCTAATCTGCATACCGGACGCAACCAGATTAAACGAAAATCCCACGACATCAGCTGGACTAGTCGCGACACGACTCCATTTAGCGAAATTTACAAACGTGTAATGCAAGCACTCAACGGTCAAGTAGACGCCACGTTGGATCGGATACAAGGACAAAATTGCCGCTTCCCTCATCGGCTGCTGTTGCCACGTGGCAGAGTCGAGGGACTTCCAATGCAAATGCTTGTAGTAATCACACAGGGCGAAGACGTCGTGCATACAATGCAAGGGCTTGGGCTGGTCAATAGAGTGTGTACAATCGGAATGGGCACCGAGAATTTGGACCGCCTGCCGTTCGGCTTCCCATTAGATCGTCCCCTAGTTAACGAAGACCAGATAATTTCGCTGCCCAATGTACACTTAGCCGATGTACAGATCTATCACGATAATCAATTGAAAGTCTATGACTGGATAAATAATTTGCATTCTTGAAGAAATTATTTATTGTATCGGAGTCGAATGCATGTTCCGTATGTACAAACATAGAAACATATGCTACACCTTATAGACCTATAATTCTTTTAAAGCAGGTTTTATAAATAAATGCCCCGCTTCTAAGCATACTTGAAAACACTTTCTATTTATAAAATAAAAGCACTTTGCGTTGGCTAATGCAAAAATAGTATTGAAAAGCAAAAACTTTTTGTAAAGTAAAACTCTTAGTTTAGGTGGAAAAAACTAGATAGTAGAGCCCTACCCTCACATAGGCCAATAGTGGAGGTGTGATTAGATACGGAATTACTAATCCTTCTCAACCTATGTCGCGTGAGCTAATTAGGCAGTGGTTCGTAATAGTCGTTTTCTGTTAAAAGAGCGCCAAGAATCCTTGCTGTTTCAGAGAAGTTTTCCCCCTTCATTTGCTTATTAAGCTGTGTGATCCTTAATAATTGTTCAAGGGAGGCCATTGGCATACCTATCGTGTTCTTTCTGGGAAGGATGGAAGTGGTCGTACCTTTTCTTGTTGATTCGTCAACTTTGCAGTTCCTCTGAATACACCGGTGTCCAGGTATATACATTAGGGCGGGTCGAAAATCTAATTTTTCTCAGATCCCTTGGTAATAGTGAAAATATATTGTATCATGAAGTCAACAACAAGCCTGCAAAATATTAGTATTTTATTTTAGTTGTAAAAGCCCGCGCATCGACCGCAAAGTAACCCACAGCACACTAGTCGAATAAGACCAATTCTTGTTAAAAATTCTGGGATCGGCAAAATGGTTTGGTGCATATTATTAGCTAATGAATCCGTTTAAGCAAAAGATAAAGTCAAATTTCATTTCTCGCAGCCCTTTAGCTTATCGTTAATCTCAAGATTATCTGTTTTCAATAAAAGTTGAATTGTTCTCTTGATAATTGCACTAGATTATACTCAAAAGATGTAAAGAACAGCTTTAATATTGCTGGAATGCTGCCATGTCGCTGGTTCCAAATATTCTAATCTTTTTTTAATATTAGCTATAGTTTGCGAATTTTTGCAAATATAGGGACAATTTCGGTAACTCTAATAGAAAAGCCATTATTTTCCAACATCGTGGAAAAATTTTGTTTATGCAAATGGGTCTGGAAACACTGAACAGGCACAACCTCTAGAAACACTAATTGGTTTACTTATATTCATGCATACAATATAAAAATTGCAAATATAAGAAAATAACAAAAAACTTTGTTCAAAATTTTTTTTGTTTTAAAATAATTTGTTTATAATCTGAGCGAATTTAATCATATTATTATCAAAAATCGGTAGCATTAAGTCTCGCCTTCAATTTGGTAATTATTAAGTACCGATCGAGTAACATTTACCAAAGTTATATGGAAAAATTTAAGTGGATCTCCAGCTTTTTTCTAAAAAAATTTCTCTTAAATTGTATAAATAACTTTTAAATGAAAGAGCCGGATTACGGAAAAGGGTGTCAGGGAGTGACTTTTTTCGTTCAAGCTAAATGCAAAGCAATATCGTCCAATTGGAGAGTCCTCAAAAGGATTTCCCAGGATATGTTAAATACTATTGCATTTACCTACAGTCACTTTTTCACATCATGGAATTAACTAAAATATTTATGTATATCTAAACACTTATTGCACGTCCCCTACTTTCATATAACGGCAGAATTAGAGACCGCGAACAATTTTCAAGACTGCATAAATGGACTTAAAATGGGCGTTTCTCACCCTAATTGTATTATGTTAATGTATTAAATACTTATATTCTTCAAACTACTATTAACTTATCAAACGATGCGTAATCTTTGACAATACATGTTTGACTTCATTCACCACAATCTTGAAAACTGACCAAATCGGCCCATGGCCCACTTAATATTATATAAACATCCGAAAACATTAGAACGTTTGAAATATATCTCGTCTCACTTTTTTGAATTTTTCACTTGGTTGCTGAAGCAATGAAGAATTGAAAATTCATAAAGGAAAATTATAGTTTTTGTGAGTTTTATCTTAATACCTTAAAAACGTGTAGACTTATTGAAAAATTATAACTGAACGTGAGATACTAAATTTAATAACCCTTAATTTGATATATCGTCCTATTTATAATAATTAACGCATACCATAGATATTACAAGCCAAAGTTAAATTTTAAAAATTCATACACTTTGATTCAATTGCGCGGGCTAAAGATAAGTTTGAAATTAATCTTTCGTGGCCAATAACAATTGGCTTAGACCTAAGACATCATAATATTACTATTACAATAAGGTCAAATGCCTTTTATTTTCCCCCATACAAAATCGACCCAGCCTAATATACATATATGAAGTGTTTATTGTGAAAGTGGTATAAGTTACTTCATACCTAATGTGACCAACCGTACTTCTTTCGGAAGTACGGTACTTCTTTCGGAAGTACGGTACTTCTTTCGGAAGTACGGTACTTCTTTTTTCGCCCTTGTACTTCGTATTTCGAAGTACAGTAAATTGTACTTCTTTACGATGTTTTGTACTTTAGGGAGGGAGATTCTGTAACCAGTTAGCGACAATTTTTGGTCCGCTATCGCACTGACGCATGATATAAATATTTTTGCGTCAAAAAGTGCGACAGCGATTCGAAAATTCTCGCTAACTGGTTACAGAATCTCCCTCCAGGTCCTGTTCTTTTCCGTTCTTCTGGACATTCGTCACATGACCTGGGCGATAAATTCGTTCAAAGTCGCGGGGTACCGATGGCATCATATCTGCGCAGCTGCAAAGGGCGCTGAAGGTGACGTGCAATTGGTTGGATCCATGCATGAGGACCAGGTACGTCCCCAAGGCTTGTAGGGTAGTCAGTGTTGCGTCCATCCCGAAGGTCGGAAAAGGTTATCATGTTTCTCCTAGGGATTTTAAGCCTATCAGTCACTGTCTTTCAAGAGCTCAATATGCTTATTGCAAGAAAAGGTCGGTGAATACCGTCCTGCACGCAGTGGTATAGTCGTCAGAGGAGGCCTTCACGCAGGAAGGTTATGCAGTAGGGGCCTCTTCGATATCGAGGGGGGCCTTCAACAATGTCACTCGAGAGGCAATAGTCAAGTATATTCATAATCTGGGGGTTGACACCAACCTAATAAGCTTACTTTATGACAGAACTGTCGCGACGGAGTGAGGGAGTCAATGGGAGCACTCCGAAAGGTGGTGTTCTCTCTCCCCTGCCCTAGATTGCGGTTGTAAACGAACTTCTAGAGGAACTGGAAAAGTTGGCTGTCGAGTGATAGCCTATGTAGATGATGTGGAACTTTTGGTTAAGGGACAATTTCTATACACCCTTTTTGATGTGGGTCAAGGTTACCTGAACCAGGTAACTAGGTGGGCGATCAACGGCGGCTAAACATTGAGGAAAGGGTACGAAAGGTGCCATTGGTATTC